TCTGTCTCTGCCAAACGCTTGAACCTATTCAGTTCAAACTTTTCACAGTTGACCTATATGCCACATGTAGTAAGCCTATTGAAAATGTGTCATCCAATGACCCACATCGAGGTGCTCTGCCGCTTTATTAGATGCTCTTTAGAGGTTTTTTCATTATTGGCGGGTTCTGATAACGTCTGTAACATCTGCACTATATAACCACCAGATTTAGAAGTAAGAAAATCAACATTTTCCATGAATGAGAAGACCTGTAGGCCAAGGTTACTTCCATCTAACTATTCAAAGTAAACATTGAATACGTTTAAGATGTAATGTAGAAGGAATGTGTATAAATGTTATCGTAAAGCTTTGAGTAATTGGTCTTAAAGGATTCAATCAATTGTAAATGCCTGATGTAAATCATAATGTGTAAATTGAGGAGCCCATTGAATTTGGTGTATAGTGTTTTTGGCAAGAATTTTAATTTTGATCCAGTAATTTCAATATTTCAATCAGGCAAACTCAAGGGTTCATTTATTGTCGACTCGGAATTTGTCTTATAAAAATGTGAATAAAAAATGGTTTAGGGTGTATCTATACAGAGTGGCCCAACGAGAAGTATGCAGAGGGCTTTTAGGGTATAAAATTTAGAAATTTCGAAAAATCCTCGAACACGTCAATTTTGTATTCGAGGGGGACAACTTTTGGAATACAAATCACGAACCCAAGTCTTCACCCCTCTACGTAGGGAGCTTAACCCCTAAAATTTTAAATGGAATCCTATGGCAAATGGCACATTATTTGAAAGCCAATTTAATCGTGATTACTAATCTGCTTTGCTTTTTAAATTCTATTGATTCGTTTCGGAGATATTCGCATTTGAAATGGTTTTTTCCCCTGATTTAAGTCCTTTAGATTACTTCTTGTGGGGATATTTAAAGAATAAAGTTTATGCTACTCCGCCCGGAACATTACAAGGGTTGCGAGCACGTATAACCATAGTGTAAGAATAGAATACACTATGGTATAACTCAACAATTTCGAGCGATTACCCCTGAAATCTTGCAACATCTACGGCAGCGTTTTGAAGCAAATCTTTATTATTGCATGGAAGCAGGCGGAAGGCAATTCGAGCATTTATTGAAATAAATGTTGTCTGTTTAAAGTTATTTGTTATTTTTTGCACAATTTAAACCTTTTTTAATACAAGGTGACTTAGACCGCATTTGTTTTGGTTTTTTTTTATAAAAAACCATTTCAAATGCGAATATGTCCGAAACGAATCAATAGAATTTAAAAAACAAAGCAGATTAGTAATCACGATTAAATTGGCTTTCAAATAATGTGCCATTAGCCATAGGATTCCATTTAAAATTTTAGGGGTTAAGCTCCCTACGTAGAGGGGTGAAGACTTGGGTTCGTGATTTGTATTCCAAAAGTTGTCCCCTCGAATACAAAATTGACGTGTTCGAGGATTTTTCGAAATTTCTAAATTTAATACCCTAAAAGCCCTCTGTATACTTCTCGTTGGGCCACTCTGTATACATAGCGATCAAAAATGAATGAACGTCGAGTCACCTTTGGAATTTTTGTTTACATGGGAAATCGTACTTAACTCGAACCTCCAAAGGCGACTCGACAGTCACTCATTTTTGATCGCCCGATTTATGTATTATGGCAAATTTGAGGTTTTAGGTTATTTATGATTAAATAATGAAGTAAGTGGTCAGGTTCTAACAAGTCTACGTATTGTAAAAATTCATTGTAATAAAGGAACGGGCATCTGGAGCTATTTGCAAATTAAATTACTTTCAACATAAATGTATTAACCGTCTGTGTGGCTCAGTGGTAGAAAGTTGGGATACATAGCCGGGAGGTCGGGTCATCGGGTTTTCGAACCTGGGTTGAGGTGAGTTTTTCATCTATAGCAGAGATGGGAATTTCCTTAGATCAGTTTCGAGCACTCTGCCGGCTTTTTTTTGTTTTCCTGCAGTTTTCCTTATTCGTAAGATACCGGAGTAGTATAGAACAACTTAAAGAAGCTTCTGCAGGGGCACCTCTAAAAAGCATTATGCGGTCACTGTAATTGGGCGAAAGCCTGTTGAGGGCCCAGAACAAGAGAAGGGCAAATAAATAAATAAAGATTATGGTTATTTAGTGTTGTTCTTTCTGTTGGCGAGGTGGAAAAAGAGTTGGAAATGATTCAAGAAGGAATGGGGAAAACTTAATTTTGTTTTGGTACAGTTTTTAGTTCATAATTTTAAAAGTTTGTTAAACAAAGGGAAATTTCGACACCTTATTGCCTTATCATCATGCGCTTTTGGAACAGATCTTTACCGAATCTAATCTAATCTGTTTGAGGTTTGAGAACAGATTTTTGTGTTGCAAAAATTTTATTTTGCCATTACCTAACTCAAAATTTGAGTGTGCCCCTTCTATACGGCTTTATTTCGCACACTTCGCTTAAGATGTTAGTCCGATTGCATCATTTTTAGTTCCTTAAAGTACAATGCTGGTCATTGCCGTGATATTGGCACCTAAAATTTGTTGGGTTTGCACTTTTTCTGTATATGTATTGTATTCATTTTGTTTCTGCATTCGTTAAGTAATATCTTCTCTTTGTCTTGCATACTTTTCTACAGGTTCGTACTACTCTTGTATGCAAGGATAAACCCATGGGAAAGGATGGCATAAAGGTCGATTCCGTCTTTGTCTTTGTGTCAGCTAAACTGATTACAACTAGAAACCCAAATCTGGCGGATTTGGTTATCATTTTGGTTATAAGGACGCAATAAACTAATTTTTTGGGAATGAGGTACGTTGTCTGATCTCTCGTTGATATCTCTAAGTAGAATACTAGCACATTACGTGTGAATATTCATAAAATTGTGTAAAAAGAACTTGCGCTTTTAATTTTATTTAGCAATAGTTAATTTACGTACAACCGAGTTTAAATGATACACAAAACAAACTCAAGGAAAGTGAAAACTATTGTTTACTTTAAATCGTTTGTTCTCATAACCCAGCTATAGTTTGATGTACTTGCTTTTCATGCATCGCCTGCACAGACACTATTATCACATTTGCAACACATAATTCTATATACGTTGTACACGAAACAGGTAGTCGGTATACTTTCAAGGATGTGCAATATCCTAAACCTCGCCATTCGGAGATTAAGCGAAATTAAGACACATTAAACTGAAGAAAGCGGGTGTGTCGAACAATTAGCAATTTGTTTCTGGGGCGAACTTTCGGTGTTAAATGAAAGAGTAAACAAGCTGTACCAGGAAATTAGTTTAAAAAATAGCGGCCCAAATAAACAACATTGAAACGCATTATCTAGTTGCACCCACGTTATCGAATAGGACGAATGTTTCGCTTCAATAGAAAGTTGACGATGAGTTCAATATGATGTGATGCTGGAAGTGATGCATGCGGCACATTAGAAATCAAATTTAAAGTTAATTTCTTATGTTACTAACGCCGGCGGCGACTCGCATCTTAAAACAGTTAACCTGAAAGTTTAGTAATTGAAATTATGGTACCTTCATTAATCTTGTTAAATCAATATCATTATCGGGATCATTAATTAATCTGATTTTATAGATTTCCGTAAGTGTTGCGTTATCTAAATGAGATGTAAAAGTTAATGGGTTTGACAGCTGAGATTAAGCATTTTGGGAGTACTTTAGTTCATGGCCGCGTCTCGCACGAAAATCTAAAACGGTGAATGTATAATTACTGGTCAGGCTTTAGAGTATGATCATCTAATTGCTCCTCTGAAATGATCTCGGCACCATAACAAATTTCACGCGGAAAACCGAACGAAATGCCACATAAAAAAGCAACGGCTCACGTTGTATCCACCTTCAAGACTATAATGAGACGATTAAAACCTGCCAAGGTGCAGATCGCGGTTTTGATCAAAGGAATAGGTGTTGAATTGAGGCTTCACGATGTGGAGGAAGAATCGTTTAGTGACTTGCATGTCTAACCCATCAATCATAAGTATCTGATACATTGATCTAGATCTCTTTATGCTCGCACCGCGTGGCTCGGGCATAAAAATTTCGTACCGATGGCGCAAAAGGTCTTTCGCAACGCGCCTTCCTCGCTAATAAAGTTATTAGCAATTATGTCAATAGTGACAAAGGTTATTAAGTGAGGGAATTACTTCCGCAATAATTAATTCTTTGCTACACACATAACCTATTCTTTCTGAATAGACCACGAGCTTCCTGTAATCAAGGCACATTTTAACGGCGATTCATTAGAAGATGAGCCCGTAAATATCTCAGACCACTTTCTTAATAACACAACTGTGTTTTTACTGAGTTAATTACGACAGTGGCATATGTTTCCAGTAGGTACATAAAACTTTTTTTTTTCGACGTTAATTATGGGTATTATCGTCGCTTTGCGCTGCCTGTAATATAGCGGTCTTTAGCAAAAATTAAAATAGAACTAATGCTGTTACCTGTAAAATATGGGCACGCGATGTACCACCTTTTTATACTCGCTGTAGACAATTACAGAAAGCAATTAAAAACAGTTTACTATATTACACCAAGACCACTTTCAGATTTTTTCGCCATTTTTAGTAAGGGAATGCTTCTTCTAAATCTTGTACCGACCGGCATAATTATTCTCCAGACACGCATTTTATCTTTCTGATCGCATCTTTTACGTTCATTTAATTGCCTAATGAGTTCACATGAATTCGTGTTAAGATCATGATACCCAACCTGATATATCTAGGCATTTCATTAGCTTTAACACTCACCAAATGTAACAGAAATCGTGTCTAATGAAATTAGTCTTAACTAGTACGGTTTTTCTCGTTCGGTCTCTACCTCTAATTTAACTTTACAGTTTTACACGGATACCATATAAGTAGATGAAGTGAGGTTGATTTTCCTCAAGTTGCACGTCCATAAAGCTTTTCAGCCGCCACTGGTGATTGGAGTTCAAGGAACTCATAACACTTACTTGTAAATAATTAATTATTCGTCACCATGTGCACAATAACGATCGTTGTAACATTTTCAAACTCTCACCATGTGAATTCCTATTATATTTTCGTGCAAAAAACGAAAATGCGAACCAAAATGCTCCAGCATTACGTTATTGTATCTAATCTGACAGATAACCTCGACTTACCCAATTATAAACAATTGCGCTCATTCAACGCGTCATAACAGTGTACGAAAATGGATCAAAGCAGTTATGGTGTAAATCGTCTAGCAGGCAAGGTAGCAATTGTAACTGCATCAACAGAAGGGTAAGACAACCACCCCCCTCACTCTTCTCACCTGAAGATCTTCCAGCATCGGTTTTGGCATAGCTAAAAGATTCGCGCTAGAAGGGGCCAAGGTAGTAGTAAGCAGCAGGCGTCAGAGTAACGTTGACAGGGCAATTCTGCGACTCGCCCAAGACGGTTTGGGCGAACGCGTTGTAGGGGTGGTTTGCCACGTGGCCAAAGCGGAGGATCGCCGAAGAATATTCGATGAAGTAGTCCTCTTTAAATAATCTTAAACTGTCACCTCACGTTGTAGGCCGTCAAACTCGGAGGACCTCACATACTGGTCTCCAATGCTTCAGTTTATCCAGGAAATTGGCGAATATCAGAGGTTTTCACACATTTCTTTCCACAATAATTCCCGTTTGCAATTCTAGTGCCCGGAAAGCGTATGGGATAAAGTTTTCGAAGTGAACGTAAAAGCTGCCTTCTTATTGGCCAAGGAAGTATATCCACTTATGCAAAAAAACGGGGGTGGCAGAATAATTTTTATATCGTCTGTGGGAGCGTACCTCCCCTTGCCTGTAGGTACTAGAAAGGGCCGTTACATACACTCAGAGCGTAGATTTTAGGTGCTTATACTACAAGTAAAGTCACCTTACTTGGTTTAACCAAAGAACTCGCCGGTGAAATCGCCTGTGAGAACATTACAGTCAATTGTATCTCCCCAGGATATATTCCAACTGGATCTTCAGAACGGGTGTCACAACAACAAAAAGCGAGAAACGTGTTAGAGGCTATTCCGCTGAACAGGTAATCATAGAAAATATTACAATTTTTGATTTTAATGTGTTATAGATACGGAACTCCAGATGACATTGCAGGAGTTGCTGCGTTTCTAGCATCAGACGATTCCAGCTATGTCACGGGAGAAACGATCGTTGTAGCCGGTGGTTTGCATTCCAGATTGTAGTAACTTTCCCTATTCCTTTGTAAGAAAGGCACGGAAGAACTAAATAAAAATTGAAATCCCTTAAAACAGTCATCTCGCAATTAGTTTTTGAACAAGATTTGTACAAATCAAAAAGTAGACTACTTTTTGTACCCACGAACCGTGGTGGTGTGTGGATTGGCCTCAAATCTTTCAGGTTGTTCTAACTGAATCTAAAAATGGGTTTCCTTCGTGAAATTATTTTCGAAAATGAAAGTGTGAGTCTGTGACGTCATAGAAGTGAGAAGTTCTCTCGCTCTTTTTAATGTATCGAAAATGGAAGTTTTTTAATCATCCGCAGGAAGTAACAATTAGTTCTTAAAATCGCTAATAGTTAAAAAAGAATGAAAAAGGGAACTTGGTTTTTACAAATCCTTCACTCTTCAGTGTTTAAAAAAATTCGAGGGTACGGCATTTCTTCTATCGTACAAAACCTTCGGAATTAATTGACGATGCTGGCTCTAGGTCATAGAAAATAGCCTTAGCCTTTTTTTTAAATTTTGCACTAATCATTGGAACATCCCACAGAACGTATATATGGAGCCGTATTTTCCGGGGAATTTTTTTATAATACTGAACGGCATCAACTTCACAGATAGACTAATATTCTTCTCAAAAATAGTACCTATATTATTAAGAAACAAGTGTATAATCGTATCGTTAAAGCACGCGCAATTTGTCTAAAGGCACTCCACTACGCTTCGTGCTATAAAGCTCAATTAGACAGTCGGCTTTCTACTCAAATAGATTTCTGATTAAGTGGGCCGCTTATTCGAAATTCCGTGATTAGGATTACCATGGAAATATGAATTGAAGTTTGTTGATTAAAATGTACTTATTCTATGATTAATATCACCGTCTTTAGAAATAAAATAAATTTGATTGAAAAATATAATAGACCGTCTATTCAGCGGTTTGTTACAGAAGCACAAGAAAAGTTGCTACCTACAAAATCCAGTAAATCTTATTTCGAAGGATGTGATAGGTTGGGGATGGATGGATGAATAAGAAGCATCTTACCAACAAAGTCTCAACATAATGTATCGATAATGTCAAATGATATCAAAATTTTCTTCAGGTGGTCTTAATGTAATGTTTTGGACTGTTTTAATGGGAACTGTCATGTCTAAATTGCCTATTTATACATGTGTGTTACCATTTGGAACAGATTTGGCAGCATACCCTAAATTACACGTGTTTGAGAAAGCTTCAAACAAAGAAATCTTTTGCATTTACAGAAAGCGGCTTAAGGAGGTTTTTTATTTCAGTCCCAGACGATAGTTTTATGCGTCATAATTGAGGTAAAATTACTTAGCAATCTGTAACAGCACTAGTTTTTTAAAAGTCCGATTTCGCACGCATTTGAGTGTTCAAAACGCGGATTGATATTCAGGTATATAATAAAAACGTATTTATTCCAAAACACTTGCATAACTTTCGTTATTTATTTATATTATTCGAGGTAATTAAATACAAGTATTTATGTAATATTTTATGAAGAAATGAAAAAAATTCGTTATTTCTTTCTTGGTGAAACATCGGAGTGCAGGAAGGTTTCAGTTCCCATCTTTAACATGGAGCCCGTTTTTCTTTTATGGAAATGGGAGATTTGTTGTGTAAACAACGTCTTGTAGACGTTATTTCGGTTTCAACACCAACAATAATGACGGGACACTCTGTTTTCCATTTTATTAAGTGTACCAATAAGCACAAAGTTGGTTTATTTTACTTGAATTTTGTAATTCCGTATTATTTTTCTTGTGTCAAAGTTTATCGTTTTTGTAATTCATTCAATTTGTCAGGACGTGTGACGCATTTCTTCGAAGCTTCCAATCTTGAGGAAGGAATTTTTTTTGTAGAAGTGGCGTTTCGTGAAATACGAGGAATGAACGTAAAAACGAAGCTGAGGCTTGCTTACTGGTTCGCGACGGTTGGACAAGCGAGTACGTTTCTTTACGCTACACTGGTAGTCCACCCGATTTGATTAGTTGAAGACGTTTGTGGGTGAAGTTAAGTGCGCCTTGTTTATCGCAAACCTTTGAACGACCAGATTATTTTTTAAAAGAAAAGAAAACTGTAAGTAATTTAAGATTTTGTTATTTATTTGTCGAACGGCTGCGTGCGGGGTAATTTGTTCATACAAGCTTTGTAAGCTTTTCTTTCTTTTCAGCAATTTTGTTTTAATTTTTCAATTCGTGTTTTGTGGGTGATGCAGTTTATATCGATTTAGGTCGTTGCCCTTTGAGGAGCCTTTAATATCTTCATGAGCTTGGAAAAGTTTTTAAGAGGCGTTATTACCAAGGTATATTGGCCGAAACAATATTCCAATGTATACAAAAGATGCTATTGGTGGTTCAGTGTTGGCCGAAACAATATTCCAATGTATACAAAAGATGCTATTGGTTTAAAAAGCTCGCCGATCGGGACAATTCCGTTTTGACCTTTTATGAGCTTTTATGAATCCTGAGAAAATCTTTAAACTTTAATGCCTTCATTGGCCTGTAGAGATAAAGGTATTCCGAGTTTTCTTTTTGTGAAACTTTGATCACGTTTAAGAGCTGTAAGAGGTCTTTAGTTACTTCCAAAAGTATTAATAGACATTTAGAGGCTCTTAAAAGCCTTTATTTTCAATAAGATCATTCGGAATACGAGCTTCAGGAAATTTTACGAATCCTTAAAGGACTTGAAGAGGTTTTGGCGGTGTTTAAGAGCTCTTGAATGTCGTATACTATTTTCAAGAACCATTGTGATTCTCCAAGAGCGTATGAATCATTTTAGAACATTTAAATTCTTTACTAGTTCTAAAACCATCAATTTTTGACAGTTTTTATTATCCTTTAAAAGGTTTCAAGTAATCTTTTGAGCATTCGAAGTTTTTATGAGGTTTTAAGATTCTTCAAAACTCGAGATGGACACGAACTTGAGCTAAACTCGACGACCGAGCTTTTGAGTGGAGCTTGACTTACTTTGAAATATCACGATGAAAAATTTCCTGACCCAGTGGCTATAGACTCTTTGGCTATAACAATAACAACTTCAGTTCTTTAGCGACTGTTTTTGAGTTGGGTTTATGTGCCTCAATTTTTAGGTTGGGGAAAAATTTCAAGTTTAAAGGTATCTGATGCTTACTTTATTTTCACTTAATGAAAATATTTTTTTAAATTGTTTATTTTATCGCAGATGCTAAATTGACATTTTAATAGGTTTGAATGAGTAGACTAAGTGTCTATTTAACAGTAAGTGATCATTTTGTGGGCAAGTGAATTAAATAATTGAGTGTTCCAATGACATCTGTCATTCTTATTAAAAATAGGACTCAGAGCACGAAATAACATGATTTTCAGAACAGAATACAATACTGTTTCCATGGAAACGACGGGATGACCTAAGCTTGAAATGTTGGACGTCTATATTCAATACCTGCGGAATTTTCAGAAGTGTTATAACGATTCTATGGTAAAAACATCAGTTTACCGCTTTGTATAATAAATAATGTTTTGTTTATATTTAGTCAACATTAAAGTCATTTAAATTCAATCTTCAATTGTAAATGCCATTGTTTTGAATCTGAGATTAGTTCGGCTCTGCTCGAAAACTCGTGTTGAGTTGAAATTGTAACATTACGGATCTTCAAGAGCCATCTAGAACTACCTAATTGTTTTGCGTATTAGTTATCTCGAATGAAGCGACTAGCGGTGGTATACGAAATCACAAATCGCTGCATAAGATCAGTCCATAACTATTAAATGCGAGATTAAATGTCGCTAAAATTTGTATTGAAATGTACCCATAGCGCAGAACTATCCATCTTCGGCAAATTATTTAATAAAAATATTCGCTTAACACAAAAATTGGCTTCTGGAATTTCGGCTCCGAAAAGATTGTGAATACAAATTTGCGAGGTAGCAAAAAAAATCGGCCTGATCATGACTTTGAACCATTTACCCCTAAGAAAACTGGCCACTCCGGAAATCTCGCTCTCCTTTTGTGGGCAGATTGAGGGAAAGGTTTCTTTGAGGAGTTTCATTGGAAAAGAATATTCCTCGAAAGGTATTGCGTGTTAGCGAATTTCTGGACTACATGGGTTAGATATCTCGGAGGCCAATTTTCCGGGAACGAATATGAGAGTGATTAATATTTTGACGCAGATATTCAAAAAGCTCGCTTTCGTTCAGAGTAATTGCCTTTTGGGGTTGTGTTTTCGGGAACGCGGTCAGTTAGTCTGGGGCGAAATGTGATCTCCACGACTTCCCGCGACGAATTTCTGAAGGAGAAAATTTCGTTACTCAATCTGTTAGCTTTATAGTAATAGGCTTGTGTGGAGATCATTTGTGATTATTACAAATCGCTGTTATTAGATTTCTTTTCACAAGCTGTTCAATTGAACAACAAACCCAAAATACAATACTTAATTAATCTGAACAAAAGATACCTACTAAATGGGTATTATTTATTCCAGATGACAACATTCGTTTCGGTATTTGTTGCAAGTCAAAAATTTTGTGGTTCTTTTGGTTTTCTTAAAAGAATTTTTACTGCAGGATTCATTATATATAATTCCTTATTTTACTACTTAATACAGACATCATTTTATTATTTTGCATTACCATAATTTGCATACTTCGATATCTGCAAAAACACTATTTTCTTAGATTATATAATCAAGATTAATGAGATTATTAGAACTTGGCATGGATACAGCGAGAAATTATGTAATTGACTTTTATTTACCTACGTGTCTTTTCATCGCACAGAAAGGCCGTTGCGCGGTAAAAGGCTACAGTTCTGCGATCCATTTCTTTTAGTGCCTGTGGGCCAAAAATGAAAAACTGGTAGTAATAATAACCCGAAAGTTAATTAGATTTGTCCTTGATAAACATGTTGCATCCTGAATATTTATATCACAAAAATACCTATACAAATGAGCTATACATAAATTAAAAAAATAACCATCAGGTAGCATCAAGATAAGCGGAAAACCAATCGGCACCATTTTTCGAGTGGTCCCCCAATTAGTTACTTTCATAGAATATTAAGATAATCAGTTTAAATCA